CTTTCCAACTTCACATTTTAAAACAAAGTCAAGTTACTGTGTAAGGATGCAATCAAACATCTCAGAAAATGTAGTTAAGTGCAAGGTATCATTAGATAAATGTATCTATTTATTTATATTTATATATCATATATATAGAATTCATATTCTTCTATAAAATTTTTTCATTGTCCTATTCACTTTCTCAATATAGCTCTAAATCTACATGGAAAAAAGGGAACCTGGTAAGAAATAAGAGTTATCATTGTAGATCAGTCAATGATGACACAGATCCACATCTTAAAAAATTTAACAGTCAAGAATCATTTTTCAAAGAGCTTTTCAAATTCAAATCTCATCGATGGGCTGATGTACTTCAGGAGTAACAACACATATCCATCTAGTAAAAACGGAACATTCTCTAAATTCACAAAATTTTAAATATGCCTTTTACTTCTTATGCCGCACTGCGCAGGTACAACATAATACATAAGTGTTTGACAGTACTTATTAAGTACTCAGTAAAGTCAACAATAAAAACCAAAATGAAAACCCTGTAAGCTTTTTAAAAATGTGTTAGGTAGTTGTAGTATAGCTAGTTGTAGTATAATCAATTTCCTAAATTTACCTTTATTAACATTTATAAAAACATTAGCCTGCAGAAATAAGGTCACCATTCATTTAAAAACTCAAAAGCTGGGCATGTTGTTTATTAACAAAGGAATAAATCATTTCAGTTGATTTCATTTCATTTCTTTCAAAAAATAACAGACTCTATTTTTTTTTAAGTAAAACTAAAAACACCACTGCACCAGGAAACAGATTTTATAGATACCAAATTCTAAATCTTCTTAAGGCTTTTATGACTTTAATTTTTTAAGTGTCTAAAACAGACTTTGTTTCAAAAGAACCCAATGAATAAGTATCCATGGTAACTTGTTTTCTTCCTGATAGACAAAAATAATTAAAAATAATCAGTGGTGCCTGCTAAGATCTTTTAAAACTTGTTTTCAATGAGCTATTTTTTAGCTCATTTTAAAAAACTTAACAGTGCCTCAATTTTCTTTCCAAGTTTCTTTCCATGACCATAATGGACCTCTTATTTTTTCATTTCATTGTTATCTTATTTCATTGATAATTTTATTAAAACAGAAAAAAATTCTGCCAAAACCACTTCATTATCCAAAGCACAAACTTTAAGATACTTGTACAAGGTTCATTTACGTATGCAAAAATATTCTGTACATATGCTATATGTACAATATGGTGAACAAGTATGAAAAAAGCCAAACAAGATCCTTTGCCTCACTGAAACTTAATCCCCTTGCACTCATTATGCTAAACATGCCTAACCTTGAATATTCCCCCTCACCTTGAGCTTCTACAGAAAGCTCAAATACCTTCATAATAATGAAGTAATATAGTGTGGTATAAAGACCCAGGTAACAGGTCTGTTACCAAAGCCTTGAACTTAACTTCCTTAGGCCTCTGTTTTCTTATAAAATAAAGTGGTTGGACGGTATCTCCTCCATTTAAATGGGCTGTTAGGGACTTAATTCAAGACCTGTTATATTAATCAAAACAGCAAAAAATCCGTTAACATCCTGATGTTAATCAATATTCCAAACAAAGGAATACTATATGACCCTTAAAAAAAAAGTTGTAGATCAATATGTGCTCATTTAAAAGGCTGTCCCAGGTAGCCTATTAAAACACAAAAGCAATATGCAGACCGTAGGTATGACCCAACTTATAAGCATTTGAAGACAAATCTGCATATGTTATGTACAGATATTTTCTAGGAAAACTCAGAAGAAACTTCAAAATGGTTATCAGGGGGAAACAGGGTGTTAACTATTTTCCCCTCTACCTCTTAGCCTTTTATAATATTTGAAAAAAAAATTTAAATAATGAACATATATTATCTCCACACATTTTTTTTAAAGAAATGAAAAGTTCTGCAGATCCAGGTTCTATAAATAGAAAGACCTGGGTTCAAAGTTACCATCTGTGTGGTGTTGAGTTACTCAACCTCAATTTCTCCACCTGTAAAGGGAGTTAATAGTAGTAACCTCATACAACTACAGTGGAAGGATAAAAGGAAATCATACACGTGAAACACTCAGCATAGCACACTGTAAGAAGATGACTATTAGCAGCTTTGCTAGGATTATTATAAATACTATAAACTCCAGAAACAGAATAGACTTGACATTCCACTCGACGATGGCCAATCTCAAAGGCAACCAATTTCCTTTACCCAAAATTCAATCAATCTGATTACAGTAAGAAAGGGCGTATTTATTAAAGTTAAAAAGAAAAAAAAAAGCTATCGCAGGTAGCAGGTGTGCTGATGGACACAGTAATCGGAGCAAAGTCTGGGTTTTAATAATTATCATCTAACTAGAATAGCCTTCTTCATTATATGGATACCCATTCAAGGAGCCAGAATACTTATAGCAAGGCAGGAGACCCTGATCTTGACCACTGAATACACAGGAATACACTTTTTTTCTTAAGTAATTGAAGCTTCCAACATGAGTTTTTTCTTATTTTAATATACCATAATTTCTTATTTTCCTAAAAATTTATGGCACTGATAGTTCATGCACACAATTTACCAATTAATTATAAATAACATGTCAATTGAGTGGAAGACATAAACATGAAAAATCTCTATAAATTCCAAAAAGCATATTGAAAGGCATTTTTGAGTGAAACTTCTCCTCACCGAATTCTTAAAGATTCAGACTGAGTATCATCAAACCAAAATACTCCAAGCTGTAAACCTGGCCTTCAAACTAGCAAATACCCTCACAAAGTACTACTCTAACAAAATTCAATTTCATTTTTCTAACACACCAAGAATAAACTTCTTTATAACTAAACTTCTTTATAACAACTGAAAGGATGTTGCAGTAAGACAGGTTAAATCAATATGTAGTACAACTGGTTTGAGGCCATCATAGCACAATTTTAACAGGACTTTCTGGTATTAGACAATAATTTCAAAATCAATATGATGGGTTAAAGTTTGGATCACCCCAATTACAAGTATAAAACAAAAACAAAAGGTCACACACACACCACATACACATTTAATCTCTTTCAATATGAAAAGAAAATAGGCTACACTTAATTTATCTACTGTTAAGTTTGTCAGGATTTAAACCTTTAGAACAGTAACCATTTCAAATTACCTAAGAGTTACATTTTGATACATTAAAGAGTTATTGTAGCTTTCCTCAGAGTAACCTGAAGTTCCCACCAAAAACAAGCAAACAAAACAAAGAAAACAAAAAACCAAAAACTGGCACCTCACTGAGGCTCTGAGAACTGCATGCCTACTTCATAGATCATTACACTGTGCTGAACTGGCATTTGGAGACTGTACTGAGCTAGACACATGAAAGCAAAAGAAGAGATGGAGGAGAGAGAGTGCATAAAAAAAGAAAACACTTCTTAACACACCCATCACCTATAAGCGTGAACTACCAAAAACAGTATTTTAAAATACATATATTTCTAATTTTCCAACATTCAAAATACAGCAAACACATAATCCACCACGAGCAGATCTTTCTACCCCTTCTCACCCCAACACGATGCTTTGCCAAGAGCACAAGCCCAAGAAAAATAACCAATGCAATTTCCTTGTTTATGTAAAGAATTTCAGAAAACATGTTGACTGCTTCTGAAGCTTCTAAAACAAATGGATTTTCAATAGTTAAGACTTTTCATTATCACATTTGAAATATGATAGTAATGATTCCTCCAGCTAGTAAAAATATAGTTTCCACTTTATAAAAAGGGTTAATATTACACTGCAGCTCATTAGCATGCCTTGTTTGCAACCAGAAGGAAGAGGGAAAGGGGGTGGGGGGAGCAGCAAAACACACAAGATGGAAAACATCACTACCTCCTTTGGTGGTTATGAATAATATTAAATTACCACAAGCTGTATGGGTAGGGTTCATGAATAGAAAGAAAGGGGGTTAACAATATGAACTGGCCCCTTCCAGATTCACACTGATGTCGGAAAGAAGGAATTTATTTACACTGCAGTGCCTGGCAGCAAACATGGCTGCCCCTACCCCCTTTAAATCTGAACAGTCTTCACTCCCTTAGCAAAACCATCAAATTATGGCCATGTCTCTACTGTCTTGCTACCATAACACTAGCACATCTCCTCCTCCCTCAAAGCAGTAAAACCCACACCTCCCCATTTCACAACAATCACAACACCATAACCACTAGCTTCTATATTCACTAGCCTTGAAAGAAAAGGCCCAGAATACACAGAAATACAGGAACAAAAGGCTTTCTCTTCCTTTAATAACCCCCTTCCCCTTCTTTTCCACCCACTCTGTGATGCTTGGTCGATAGTTCTCATCCTTCTCAACATTCAGCTAATTTCCTTCCCTATACCAATCCTAGGTCTCCCAGTTTCCTGAGTCCATTTCCTATCTTCCTATGCATCCTGTCTCAACAATTTCTTATCCCTTTTCCAAATCCACCTTTTCCTCCACTTCCATTCCCTCGTTTATCTCTTGAGGCCCCATATCTCCATCAAATTCTACCCCCTTCCCCCAGACTCTTCTAGTTTCCACACTGCACCCCCAAACCTATTTCTCAGTCCACCCAGGTCTCTAATCTTCTCCAAACCTAACTCTTCTTCTCTTCCCCTGCCCCTCCCCCGTTCGATCTCTATCCCCGCCCCCATCCCACCTCTACTCCCAATTCCCAGCTCAGCGCCACCCCATCTCTTACCCCAATCCTACCTTCCCTGCCCCACCTCCCTATCTCCTCCACAACCCCTACCTGGCCCTCTGCTTTACCTCCTAGACTCCCCCAGAAGCCTTTCCGGCCACCCGCTGGTCCTCCCATCCCTGTTGGGGTCTCTCTACCCGGGTCCCATCCCTAGGTCGCTCCCTCCTCGTCGTTCCCTCCTCAGCCCTTCCTTCCAACACACACACACAAACACACACACACACACACACACACACACTCACTCACTTTACCTTCAGTTTGTTCCATTCTAACCCCCCCGGCCGTGTCAGTACGATCACAGGAGAGACACGGAGGCCCGGAGTGGGGCTGAGGTGCGGGCAGCCGCCGGGGCCGCGGGGGGAGGACACGGAACCGAGCTAGGCCGCATGAAATCCCCGGGCTAGATTTCCCTCGCGCCGGACGCCTCTGCCATGGCTGCTGGCACCGAGAAGGGCCGCGGCCGAGCCGGGCCGGGCGTGAAGCTGAGAGGAGGAAGGCTGCGGGAGGTGGGGTGGGCAGGGGCGGTGGAAGGATGGGGGGTCGCCGCGCAGCTTCTGCTGCTAGAGAGAAAGCTGTGGCTGGCGGCCGGGCCGGGGCAGCAAGGTCCTCGGGGCTCGACTTGGCCTTCGCACGCCTCTCCGCAGCGACCAGCGGACAGTCCCCGTCGGCCTCCGCCTCCGTCCTGGCCGCCGCTCCTGCCGCCGCCGCCCGCTCCCGCCGCCGCCGCCGCCGTCGCCGCCGTCGCCGCGCACAAAGTCCCCCCACCCGGCTCTCGGAGCGCCGCCGCCACCGCCGTCGCCGCCGCCGCCAAATCCTCAGCCCCTCATTGGCCGCTAGCCGCGGCGCCTGCTGGGAAATGCAGTCCTGGGTTTGTGGCGCGGGCGGGGTTGGGTGAGCGAAAGGAGGAAGAGGGTAGTCAGCCGGGCGGAGAGGAGGGGCGCGAGAGTCTAGACAAGAAGTGAGACCGCAGGCAATAAAGGCAGAGGCAGGAAGAAATGATACGAAGGAAAGTCAAAAAAACAAAACACATACACAACCAGAAGACAGGTTAAAGGTTGGGCCTTTGAGGTAAAAGTGCGTCCGTGCGTGTTCTTTGAGACTTATTTAGTTAACAACGCATATTAAACACCATTTGGTCCTCCTCAGAGGGACACTGCTGCACACTCCCTAGACGTCAGAAATAACCTACAAACGAGGGCCGGGCTAAGATGACCAAGAAAGAGAAGAACACTTTGTGTGTCTCCTCGGCTGCCTTCTGTCCGACAGCTGTCAGAGTCAGAGCTTCCTATTTTACATGCGTCTGCGTCTGAAACCGTGGCAGCAATTTCAGACCTGAGCCGTGGGAGACAGCGTCTCTCTCAGCCTCGGATGTGAGTCCCGGATGCCCCCCCCACCCCCGTCCCGCCCCACAGTCGCAAGCCGTGGCGGCATCTCAGTCGCTGTGAGGAAGCGCTGACCTCCCTGGCGGGCACAGGGCCCCACACGCCTTCTTCCTGCTCGCGCTGCGGGCCCGGAGGCTTGTGGGTAAGGAGGACGTCGTCAGCGCCGACTGCAGCCGGGACCCCTAGGGACCGAGAGGGCTCCGTGCCCGTCACGTGCCTGGGCCGTCTGCTGCTCACTGCCAGGCCTTCCCTTCGAGGGATGGGAGGGCATTTTGCCCTCTAGAGAGCTCACGCAAGAATGAGCGTTGGAAACTGGAGTCAAAATTCTCTGTAACCCTCTGAGATCTCCCCATCCTAGGAAATTTATGTTAAACAATAGAAGGTGTGTGACACAGTAAAGTAGCCTTGCCGGAGTGTGCAAAATTTTGTGATATTTCCTGGGGCCTGGTGGTGATGACTTAGAAGGTTACGGCACAGAGGGCCGCCTGGGTGGCTCAGTGGGTTAAGCCTCTGCCTTCGGTTCAGGTGATGATCTCAGGGTCCTGGGATGGAGTCCCCGGGGTCCCCGCTCTCTGCTCAGCAGGGAGTCTGCTTCCCCCTCTCCCTCTGCCTGCCTCTCCATCTACTTGTGATCTCTGTCAAAGGAATAAAAACTTAAAAAAAAAAAAACTTAAAAAAAGAAAAACGTTGTGGCACAGAGACTTGAATGTAAGAAGGAAATACAGGCAACAGCAATCAGATGAGAAAACCTATCCTCTGTGCTCTGTTCTGAGAATAATAAAGCTATGTTACTACTAGATGTTATACTCTGCACTGACATTGTAGTTCTGGATCTGTTTGGCACCGCCACAAGAAATTTCTGATATCTTTGTCTTTAAATATCATTTAAACAAGAAATTAAAAGATTCCTACAGATCAATTATTTAATGACTACTAATTACGTTTCAGGTTTTTAAAAACATAAACCTTTTAATTATACTATAGATGATATTGAGAATTAAGCATTCCCATTACTGTTAATCATTAAATATTTCCTTCTTTCCCCTAAAGATTGATTGATTGATTGATTGATTGATTGATTTGACACAGAGGGAGAGGGTGCAGAAGCAAGAGGAGAGGCAGAGGCAGCAAGAAAAGCAGGACTCTTACTGATCCTGGGATCATGACCTGAGGATCATGGGATCCTGGGATCATGGGATCATGACCTGAGCTGAAGGCAGATGCTTAACCAACTAAGCCACCCAGGTGCCCTATTCATTAACTATTTCTAAATGTATGCTTCTGTAGTACCTGTTTTGTGCAGTACCAAGAGTTAAAGGAATCAGTAAAAAGCACTTTTTTGTTTGTTTTAAATGTCTTTTTAGAAACAGACCTCTTTTAAAATTATATTGATTTATTTAATGAGACACAGCAAGAGAGGGAACACAAGCAGGGGGAGTGGGAGAGGGAGAAGCAGACTTCCCATCCAGCAGGAAGCCTGATGCGGGGCTCCATCCCAGGGCCCCAGGATCATGACCTAAGTGGAAAGCAAATGCTTAAGGACTGAGCCATCCAGGTGCCCCTGGAACACATACCTCTTAAAGGGGGCCCCCTGAGCTTATTTCAGTTTGACTGTGTCTCCTGGAAAGACAGGTTAAATTGATCTTTTTTTTTTTTTATGATCTTTTCCACCTTCATCCTTCCTCTCCATCTTCCTGTATATTCCTTGTTTTGTTGATAAATTGTTGCCTTGACCAGATATCGGGACTTTTTCTTGAGGAGAATTTGGTAAGTTGTCCCCAGGGATTTTATTTTAATCTGTTTCTCTGCTGACAAGAGTTTAAAATTAAAGTTCTGGGAGGTAGATATGTAATCTCTTCCTGTGAAACAAGAAAACATACTGTTAATAACATTTGATCTTGAGCTATATTTAGGGAAATGACCATTAAAGTTAATAATGTACATTTTTAGCATCTAACATCTTCTGAGGTTCAGATCACACTTTGTCTTCTTCATACAAAATGAGCAAACAATTCATTAAGACAGCAATCTAACACAATTCCCAGGGCCAGAGTTAAAGAGAAAGGAATTTTTTGTTTCTCTTCCAAAGATTATATCCAAAAACTCCTTACATGATAAATCACTTAATCTTGAAAGTCAAAAAATTGCCAGACCTGATAGCAGAAAGCAAACATTGCTTTGAACGAATGGATTTCAACAGGAAGGTTCTTAACCCTTCCCTTTTTATAATAGGATTGCTGACATGTGACTGTAGTAGAAAATCTAGCTCATCTTTCCATACCGAGCTTGGAATCATTCATCTGGTTTATGAATACTTAATGATTTTACTGTGCCTGTTTGTAAGTGAATACAATGCATGAATAAGAATATTTCCCGGTATAAAATGTCTCCCAGGGAACTGAAAGGCATATTTTTGTATCTTTATGATCTTTTCCAGAAAAGTACATGTTCATGTTTGTACGGTGATTAATTTGTGGAATTAATGTGAAAATTATAACTACCTAGACTCTTAAAGCTCAAAATTTGCCATCGGAACTTTTCAGGAAAGGAAAGGGAGAGAAACCAAGGCTTTGTAGATTTTGTTAATTCTAGTAAACATAGAACGTGAAGTGAAACCTTTATGTGGAAACTCGGGTATCCAACATGCACAAAGGGCCCTCTAGTGGCCAAACTGAAAAGTTCTGCCTATTTAACACGGTTGATCCATTTGGTTTTAAGCCAAAAAAATGCTTTGTAGATTAAAAGCTGTCTACATAAACAACAACAACAACAACAACAACAACAACACAAAACCTGAAATTGAATACCCGCCATCTTTCATTCTTACAAATGTGCAGCCCAGATGAGTGAGTTCTGTGGTCAGCTCACATGTTAAGTATGTGAAAACGATTCCTTGTTGTCTGGTAGTCCAAGCGGATCCACTAAACATTTTGTTTTCTTTCTAGAGCCAGATGAAACGGATGGGTAGAGATAACAGGGGAGCGAGAACATTTCTATATCTTTCACTTTTCCAAGACGGCTCAGTTACCCAACCTAGGAACTGAAGTGCCCCCAACCTGCAGTACCTACGTCACTGCACAGTTAGAATATATATCTTAAATGTTATTTGAGATTTCTCCACAAACTACTGACCACAAACCATACCTGTTAAGTGAGCATTTATAAAGCAAATTACTTTAGTGGAATTCAGATTTCCATATGAGGATTTCACAGCATTCCTCTCTTAGGCCCCGGAGAAGGGAAAGCGATGTTTTCCTAACCATTCCCGCCCTTTCTGCCACTCCCTCTCCGCGGAGCTCTCCGCGCCATCCCAACCCCGGCAGTTGTTGATTTGTAAGGGTTGGGGGTGGGGAGAGTACATCAAAGTGATGTAATTCGTGACTTTAAGATGGTTACCATGGCGACTATCAGGCATATTACGCTATCGGTAGGGTGAGAGGTTCTTTAGCCTTCAACGAGCATTTTCGGGGACGTTAGCCCACATGCCAGAGAGTGGAGACAGGCGGAAAAGCGTCAGTATTGCCCCCTGCCGCAAGACAGACTCTGCTTAAACTAAACCCAACAGAGAGGTCATTTTGCCGGTGAGAACTGGACCTTGGCTACCTCCAGGGCTGCCGCACCGAAGGACGCCCTCCCGCCCCATAATCTGAGAGCTCATTGGTGGGTGGTGTCGTCACTCAGAGTGACGTAATGGGATAGGAAAGAGGCGGAGCCATAGAGACTTCTGGGGCCCTTCTAGCTGGGGACCTGGACGAGGGGGGGTTTGGGAAGGGACTGGAGGACTGAGGTAGCCGTTCCGGGGAGCCCGCCCGAGGAGGTAGGGGTGGGCTGGCCAAGTCCTTAGGCTGTTACTTGGTGGACCTCGCCTGCCTTTTTTTCCTCCGGAGCCCGCTCCCTCCGCATCCTGCTCTTCCCATCAGGGCCCAGGTTTCCCGACAGCTTCCAGTTCCCCACCGCACTCGCCTTAAGCCCATGACCTCGTGCCCCTGCCCGCTCCCCAGCTTTGGAGCTCAACCTCCATTTCCCCTCCTTCCGTGCTTCGCTTCTTCCTTTCTCTTCCGTACCCGGCGCCAAGCTTCTCCTTGTTCTCCTTCCATAAACCTGGATCGCCAACAAGGTTGTCCTCCCCGTGCCTGCACCATCCCCGCACCCAAACACAAAGAACCGCTCCCCCACCCCCACCCCGCTGCCGCAAACACAGTCCACCAACACACTACGTGCACAAAAGCCGACGGCGCGTTTTGCCCCTGTGTCGTCAAGGGCCAGAAGCAAGGTAACCCGGGGAGCCTGGGGCCCCGCGTGTGGGCGTGGGCGGCGCGAAGGCGCTAAGGCGCAGGCGGGGCTCCCGGCGGTCCACGCCTAGGAAGTGGTTACCCACCGCTCAGGGCGGGAGTGCCCAGGGGCCAGAGAGCAGGTTAACCGCCTGATCGGGTGTGGCTTGCCTCCAGCCGGAGACCACCCTCCCTTAGCCTGGGTTTAGATGTTCCGAAGTTTTCTTTGAACTCCCGTTAAAAATGTCAGCTCTGTGGTTGAGGTTTCCGTCCAGGAGAGCACCCTGGTCTGCGCCTTTTCCAGCTGCAGGAAAGCAAAGTTGACGCTAAGAGATACTACCAAAAAACACCTTGCTGCCCTTGGCTGAAAAGGACTACAGGATGGAGAAAGGTTTTGATAAAGCTTGTTTAAAGATAGCTCAGTTTGGACTCTGGAGAATCATCAGTACAGGAAACCGATTTACCTCCACTTGAATTATTAGTAGGTACCAAGTATTATTTTCACTGCTACATAAATGTGGTTAGTGAATACTTTTTTTGTTTGTTTGTTTAGTAGGCTCTGTGCCTAGCATGGGGCTTGAACTCATGACCCTGAGATCAAGACTTGCATGCTCTACCACCTTAGCCAGGCAGGCACCCCTGCTTTTCATCTTTAAAGTTTGGGGCAACTTGGCCAAGTATGGGAAAAAGCTAACTGAAACAAATCCAGGATGTTTTATCCTACCTGTATTTTTAGGCTACAAATAAGTGTGTATTGCTTAACTTCTTAAATACCTGGCAACCGGGGCACCTGGGTGGCTCAGTGGGTTAAGCCTCTGCCATTGGCTAGGGTCATGGTCTCAGGGTCCTGGGATAGAGCCCCACATTGGCTCTTTGCTCAGCGGGGAGCCTACTTCCCTCTCTCTCTGCCTGCCTCTCTGCCTACTTGTGATCTCTGTCAAATAAATAAATAAAATCTTAAAAAAAAAAAAACACCTGGCAACCATTCAAGTAGGTTACTAGGTGTTATTGACCAGAAATTAAAAAGTCTTTAAAGACCATATCACCATCATGAGCACCATGATGTTAGAGATCATTTCTATTTGTTGAGAACTCAAAAGTACAATTCTCAAATCCAAGCTGAGAAAACATTCAAGATTGTTGGAAATGATCTTGAGAGAGATTTTACACCTTGAACGGAATATGGAAATTTTCTACCTCTGCAGTAGTAAACCCTGAAATCCTGGTATCTTTATAACTGATGTGTTCTTAAAATACTGAATTGTTTACTTAATCCTTCTGTCTAGGTTCCTCTGTTGGCTAGTTGAGACAAATATAAGTATGGCCTTCTACAATTATAAAACAGTCTTAGCTATTGCCCGGACAAGGTAAGCCATGGAATCCCCACTTACCCTGCAATATTTATATGAACTTTTTTCTAGACCAGAAAGATATATGTAAAAAGATAGACTTGTTCCACAACAAATGAAAGCTTTGTTGGCTTTAACTCTACTGCTTTTTAGGAAGCTGACATTTTATTGTATTTAAACTTACCCCAGCTTTTCTATATGCCTTAGAACTCAGACTGAGTAATCTTTAGATGTATGGCACAGGTAAGAGAGAAGATGTAATGGTTTTAGAGTGACACCTCTGTAACTGATGAATGTTGCATGGGCCCTTAGATAGAAAAATGAGCAAAATGGCTGTCAAACAAGCCAGGCCTGGACATATACCTGCGCTCGTAGGCCTGTTATCACTTACTTATTCTAAAGAATATTCACTGAGAACTTACTATGTGCCAGATACATTGTACATTTTCCCTTTTGGCCCTTCAAAAAGTGTTTTATCTTGGCATGCTTCAAAAACAGTCTGAAAGAATGGAAAAGCTATCTCTTTGCCAGAAGAAATTTCTTTGCCAGGAACTTTCTTTGCCTAGATGGGTCTTATTTTTATTTTCAAACAATCTGATGTGCTAATTTAACTGAAGATTGTGAGCTGTTGCAAAACTAGAATATAGAGATCCCCAGCTGGGGTGCCCAATTTTAGTTCTTATTCCTAACATTCTTAAGGAATTGTAGGTGAAGGGCATTTGGGACATAAATGCCTCTCATTTGAGGGAGTCCACGGGCACCACACAGACAAACCAGTATTATGTATATTATGTATTTGGTTAATTTCCGCAGAGACTGTGAAGTGTTTTTTTCAGCCAATATTCCTATTGTCAGCAGAGTAACCAAAGATGCAAGTGTTCCACCTGTTTTATTATAGTAGATAAAGACGACACTTTCAAACACAACCCCTGGCAGAAAAATGTTTGCTGTTAGATTTTTAAATTAATAGTTGCAGAGTTTTGTGCTCATGTCAGTACTGCATATACTAAAATTGGAACAGTTCAGAGATTAGCATGGCCCCCGGCACAGGAATAATTCCAGAGTTTCTAACTTGTAACATAGCAATTATTTTTAGGAATTAAGTTATTAATATTTCTCATAGAGTCTATCACTCAAACATAAAGTGACACTGTTCTTCAACTGGGGTAAAAAGTTATATTTCCTTCATTTGTGAATATCATCTGCTTTTAAAATATGGCTTAAAAGCCGCTGCTTTATTTTAACCATATAAATATTGATTTCTTTAGTTTGTAAGTTGGTAACAGTATGTGCTCAACTCAGAGGATGTTGCTCTTTATTCCAGATTCCCTAGCTATTTTGTCCATCCTACCAGCTCTTATTCCCCATCATTTGCATTTCTTCACTTGCCAGATTCCCATTTAAATAGAACATACATCAAGAACTGTGTAAGCAAGAAGTACTCCTATCCTAATCAGTCAGGCAATAAAGTACTTCACCTACGAGCTAGAATAATACAGAAGCTGCATACATCAACTTGCTGGTTCCAAGAGGTCACTGGTAAACCTCAACTGCTCCAAACCCCAAAAAAGCCTCAGGCGACAAGCCCTCAGCCCACAGAAGGAACTGGCACGAAGATTAAGGAGGAAAAGCGATCTTATAGACAAAGAATTATGGATGAACTTAAATATTATTACAATGGATTCTACTTGCTATGGATTGACACCAAAGTTGCTGCCAGAATGGTTTGGAGGCTGTTGCATGGACAGGTGCTGACCAGACGAGAGAGACGAAGGGTAGGCACGAATCATATTTGAGACAGAAAATGTAAAGTTAAATTGAATTATTCGGGAGCCAAGATTTTTTTTTTTTTTTTAAGATTTTATTTGTTTATTTGAGAGAGAGAATGAGAGAACATGAGAAGGGGGGAGGGTCAGAGAGAGAAGTAGATTCCCCATGGAGTTGGTAGCCTGATACGGGACTTGATCCCAGGACTCTGGGATCATGACCTGAGCTGAAGGCAGCCGCTCAACCAACTGAGCCACCCAGGTGCCCTGGGAACCAAGTTTTAAACTCACTTGAGAATTCATCCCAAAAATCCCAAAGTAGGAATAGTAACTGATAGTGAGAACCACAGTTTCTTCCGGAGTTTCTTATTTTTCTGAAACGGACTTACTGTTCAACCTTAGGCAAGATTCTTGAGATTTGTGCATATTTGCCTACAAAGTGGTTATAATTGCGTTCTGATCTCCCCAAGGGGTTGAGAAACTTCAGGTTTGATCTGTGCACCTGAAATAAAAAGTAGTGTTAATATATTAAGTATATGCTTTTGGGAAAAATCAGTTTTTGACAGATACTGAACTATTAAAGTACAGACTGCTAACATAGATGAACGCTAACAAGAGATGACGCCAGCAATGTTTTGATCGTCATAGATTTCCTTGAAGATGTCTCATAGATGTTACTTCAGAGCAATGGTAAAAAGGAAAACTCTACCTTTCCATTTTATACACAGCTGCAGAAAATCTGTCTAGGGTTTTTAACACTTCAAGGACCAAGGTAGGCTTTTTTGGTTTTGTGTATTTGTTTGGGGGCATGTCCTAAAATAATGAATATTGCATATGCATTTAATTCTTTAGCTCTTGAGGACTTGTGCCGATTTCTTCCGCCTGGTTCCATTTATGGTTTTCATAATTGTACCCTTCATGGAATTCTTATTACCAGCATTTCTGAAATTCTTCCCAGAGATGTTGCCATCAACTTTTGAAAGTGAATCCAAAAAGGTATGTAGGATTTTTTAACTTTAAAAAAAAAAAAATGGACTCTATTCTTTAGTTTTAAGTTTGTAGAAAAATTGAATAGAAAGTACAGAGGGTCTTGGATAATCCCCCCATTTTCCCGGTTGTTAATGTCTTGCATTTGTGTGATCTGTTTGTTACAACTGAAGAACCAATATCTAGATAGTATTAATTAAATCTCCTACTTTACATTAGGCTTCACTCTTTGTGTTGTACTATTGTATGGGTTTTGAAAAATGCATGATGTCATGGTATCTACCATCACCCACTGCCCTAAAAATGCCCTGTGCATCATCTGTTGTTCCTCCTACCTCCTCCAACCAATGGCAAGCACTCTCTCCATAGATTTGCCTTTTCCGGAATGTCATAGAATTGGAATCATACAGTGTATACTCCTGTCATGGATCATTTCTTTCTATCACTGCGTAATATTTCACTGTATGGATGTGCCAGGGGGGGGTTTCTCTGCTCACCCGTTGAAGGGTATTGTGTTTGATTCCAGTTTTTGGCAATTATGAATAAAGCTGCTATAAATATCTGTGTGCAGGGGTTTGTTTTTTTATGATCATAAGCTTTCAACTCATTTGGATTCCACAGGAAAGCAATTACTGGATTGTATGGTAAGACTATGTTTAGTTTCATAAAAAAATAACTGTCTTCTGAAGTCCGTGTACCATTTTTCATTCCCACCAGCAATGAGAGTTCCGGTAGCTCTGTATCTTCATCAGCCTTAAGTGTTGTCAGTGCTTTGAATATCAGCCATTTTAATAGTTGTGAAGTGATTTCTCATTGTTATTTTAGTTTGCAGTTCTCTGATGACATGTGATTCTGGGCATCTTTTCATATGCTTGTTTGCCACCTGTATGTCTTCTTTGGGGATGGATCTGTCTTTTGCCCACTTTTTAATGGAGGTATTTGTTTTCTAATTGTTGTCTTTTAGGAGTTCTTAATACATTTGGATACAAGTCCTTCAACAGATATGTGTCTTGCAGATATTTTCTCCCAGCTTGTGGCTTGTCCCTTCTCTTAACTGTCTTTCACAGAGCTAATGTTTTTGATTTTGTAATTAAATATAAGTTATCAGTATTTTTTTCCCCCCAGATCATGCTTTTGGTGTTGTATCTAAAAACTCATTGCTAAATTCAAGGTCCCTTAGGTTTTCTCCTACATTTTCTTTTTCTTTTTTTTAATTTTAAGTAGGCTCCACACCCAATGTGTGGCTTGAACTCATGACCCTGAGATCGAGAGTCCCATGCTCTACTGACTGAGCCAGCCAGGCGTCCCTCCTACATTTTCTTCTAAAAGTTTTATAGTTCTGAGTTTTACATTTAAGTCTCGGATCCATTTTGAGTTAATTTTGGTAAGAGGTGGAACATCAGGATTAAGATTCATTTTTTTCTTATTTATGTGTGGATACCAAGTTTTTCTAGCATCATTTGTTGAAAAAAATGATCCCCTTTCCATTGAATTTAACTTGTTTTTCACCATTAAAAAAATAAAGGGAACAAAAATCAGCTGTTATTGCAGTGATTAGTTGAACAGTGGGCATGATTTAGCCAGACAGACCCTTTCTTTCTTGAGAGTAGTCCTAGAGAAGATGGGTCCTCGTTGGATGGTCACTGTGATGGTGACAGACTGGGAAAACTCGGGGGCCCCTTTGTTCTTTCCCTCTGTGCCACTCTACTGGACCAAGGTCTGAAGGCACAACCACATGATGAGAGGATGAACAGGACAACTTTTAAGTTGGATCAGGAAATGTTTTCTAGAAGAGGTAACTATGCAACCAAGACTAGAAGGATGGTAGAATTTTGCTGCAACATTTGAAAGGCTTTCTGAATAGAAAGAGTAGCACCTAAAATGGCTTACTTGTGTGAAAGAGTTGGACATAATCTGAGACACTGAATGCTGCTTTGTGGGTGGAGCAGGGAAGAGACAGAAGTGATGTCTAGGGTCAGGTTGGAAAGCGTCTACCACTCTAAGAAATTTAGACTTTGCCTTTGACCATGGTGAATAATGGAAGGTAAATTTAAGCAGAGGGTGGGTAACACAGTTAGATCTGTATTTTAGAAAAAACGATTTTGCTGGCTAAAAGGATAGAAGAGGGCAGGGCCGGAGGAGGGATTTCCCGATTTCCGGCTGGCATGCTATTACAGTAGTGCAGGAGAGATTAAATTATGAAAGTGGCATTAAGAATAAAAACTTGAAGATACATTAGAGGTACATGTAAGGGGTAGAATCAAATTGGCATATTTGACTGGCAGTGGTTTAGTTTAGTTACATTTAAGATAATCAGGACCTAGAATTAATACCGTGGGATTCCAGGGAATGTGTTCATGAATTCAGGAAGGTGGGGGAGAAAGGAAGAGGTTTATCTATGGATTCCTCATTCCTCAATGCTGCTCATTCCCCAGATACACATCCATACACACCATGGCTACAGTTTTAGAAGATACATTCTCTCTCTTTTCTTTCCATGGACTAAAGCAAATGAGAAAATGAGAGAGAGAGGTGGTGTGGTGGGGGGAGGAAGTAATGGGGGGGGGGGATGGGAAGAAGCAAGACTTTCTATTTATGTCAGATCAGAGAACCCATGCATTTCTCTTTCGTAGTACTTATTTATTATACTTTAATTTGTAGAATTACTGGATGATCATTAGTCACTAATGTGTGTCTTTCCCATTAGACTAAAAGTCCCATGAGGGCAGGAATTCTTATCTGTTTTTGCTCAATTTATCCCCAGTACCTAGTGCAAGGTAGATGCTCAAATAAATGAATAGATGGATGGATATGGATATAGGAAATGGATAACTAAATGGGTTCTAATGATGGTATTGCCATTGGTGTTGTGTGATTTTTTTTGCTTGAGTTTTTTTTTACAGACAGAGATCACAAGTAGGCAGAGAGACAGGCAGAGAGAGAGAGGAGGAAGCAGGCTCCCTGCTGAGCAGAGAGCCCAATTCAGGGCTCGATCCCAGGACCCTGGGATCATGACCTGAGCCAGAGGCAGAGGCTTTAACCCACTGAGCCACCCAGGCACCCTTTGGTTGAGTCTTTTAAGATTTTTCTAAAAATTCATGATTGCTATGATTGGCTAATCATTAGAATCTCTTGGGCAACTTTAAAAAAAAAAAACAAACACAGAAAATCTTATTCCTCTTCATCCCCGAGTCCTGACCATGGTTATTATTTTTTTTTAAGATTTGTTTATCTATTTTAGAGAGAGAACGAGCAAGCACATGAGTGGGAGTGGCAGTGGGAAAGGGAAGAGAGAATCCCAAGCAGACTCTGCACTGAGCATGGAGCCTGACGCAGGGCTCAGTCTCATGACCATGAGATCATGACTCAAGCCAAGACCAAGAGTTGGATGCTTAACTGACTGTGCAACCCAGATGCCTCTCACTATGGTTATTTCGACAATGCTACCACACTGCATTTCTGATAATAAATGAAGTTTTAGAAGTACGCATTAACATCGTGTCTTAAGAGTATACATTTAGGGGCACCTGGCTGACTCAGTCAGTAGAGCATACAACTCCTGATCTCAGGGCTGTGAGTTCAAGCCCCACCTGTGGAGTAGAGATTGCTTTAAAAATAATAATAATAAAAGGAATGTACATTTAATTCTTTTTTGTGTAGTACTTTGTTCATATCTGTTATAACACTTAAGTCAGTGTATTATAATTAATTGTATCTGTTTTGCACTGAAGTTATATGCTACTCTAGCATAGAGTTAATTTCCTAGTTTTCTTTGTGGCGCACACAAAATCTGGGACCACCCTGGGATCGGGGGCTGGCTCAGCTAGCAGCCGAAATGGTTTATACCCGACTAAGAGATAATATCTCATTCTAAATAATGGCAAAGCCTTCCATTGAGGGGATATTTTGGATCGATCAAATATTTATGGCCATCGTATTAGTAAGAGATAAACAGTAAGATTAAGGTGGCAAGTTGCAGATAGAGACTACTTTCAACTTGGTTCTCACAAAACCCATTTAACTAGGTTTGAAAATAGTATTACATTGCAAAAGAGGGATGAACGATAACAAGGGTGACAATTCTTTTCCTCTCACTTTTATCTAAGAACTTGTAAACCTGAAGGATCAATTAACTTTCTCCTCTTCCGTTATTAAGGAGGAAAAACAGAAAAAGAAAATGGCTGCGAAGTTGGAACTAGCAAAATTTCTTCAAGAAACGGTTACAGAAATGGCAAGGAGGAACAGGGCCAAGCTGGGAGACGACTCCATACAGTTCTCCTCCTATGTCAAACAGGTGTCAGTCTCTTGTGGTTACACTTCTAGGTACACACCTAGGTTGTGGAAGCAACTTCTAGGCTGGCGGTTATATGAAAGTTTCATGTCATTGTGGATCGTCCAAATTGTTCAGTCTCTGATGGCAAATATCTAAGTTATACACATACAGTATTGCAAACATTTACAGTAGTGTGTACAAAAACCTACCTTAAAGCAGTCATGTATTGGAAAGAACGGTAGATTTAGAGTCAAACTTCTGAACTACTCCTGATTTTTCAGCTGACTTAGGCTGACTTGGAGACTTCCTTATGCCTCTTGGTCCCACAGGGCCCATTTCCAGATGTAAGACAGAGTCTATGAACATGCTTTGGTGTGTATTTCAAAGAGTCTGCAGAGAAGGTTAAATTAAGAAATACATTTTATAACTGATAATTTTTTTTTAAAGATTTATTCACTTATTTTAGAGAGGGAGAGTGTACGTGAGTGGGGGGAGGGGGCAGAGGGAGAGAAATGATCTCAAGCAGACTCCCATCTGAGCTCAGAGCCCAACCTGGTGCTCCATTCCATGGCCCACGAGATCATGACCTGAGCCTAATGCTCAACCGACTGAACCACCCAGGAGCCCTACAAAATACATTTTAATGAACCTCTTTGTCCCGCTGCCTAGGTCCAGACAGGCCACAAGCCCAGCACAAAGGAGATAGTTCGATTTTCCAAGCTATTTAAAGATCAGCTAACCCTGGAGAGCCTAGATCGACCTCAGCTGGTTGCCCTCTGCAAGCTTCTAGAGTTGCAGGCCTTTGGAACCAACAATTTGCTCCGCTTTCAACTTCTGATGAAACTAAAGTCTATAAAAGCAGATGATGAAGTAAGAGCTGAACTGTAGCCGTCAGGGAATTAGCCCGGCTGGGAGATCCTTTAGGGTGACTTCGTGATAAAGAGCTGTATCTTCTCTTAGATCTGCCACTGGACGGGTTCTGGCAAACCACTGAGCAGTTTAAACAATCATTACCATGACAATCTGAACCCGGATTACTCATTTTAGGAGTTGTTTGTCATACTCTGACGCACTTTTCTGGAGAATGCCCTCATAAGCAGTGATTTAGTAATCTACATCAGTTAGGACCCGCTAGAAGGAACAGTAGCCCAGGAGGCTCCTGAGTCTTCCATTGCTAAGGACAGGGCTCTGCCCTCACACCTCAGCTCCCCTTCCTCAGAGCTGGTACCGACATTAATATTCTGCTGGGTGAGTTAGTCTGATAAGAAGGAGTGGCAAGACGTAATGCAGGGAGGGAGAGCCCAGCTTAGACATCTGACGGGGGAAAGGCATCGTTAACTACTAATTAGACTCTTAAAAAATGGAAAGAATGTTTCTTGAATCAGAATCAGCTGCTTTCAAGCATTCTGCCTGAGGGAGCAAGATTCCCAGAACTGAGAAAGCATGATCCCGGTGGCCTCATTTAGATTTCAGCTGTTGCTTTCAGAATTTTGGAATAAACAATACTGGTCCCAGGAGTACCCTAGTTTTGGGTCACACCAAGCTGAAACCGTATTATGTATCGAGCGAGTTTTGTGGACCAGAGTTAGGGCTGTTCCCGGATGGAGGTAGGAGGATGGTAAGGGAAAGGGCGACACTGGGACATCCAGCAAATGGTACACTGAGAGCTTTTCAAGTGGAATATTTTCTAATGAATCCTAAAGCTGCCATGAAGGGGAAACGCACATCGAGAGGGGAGAGGATTACTTTGGTGACAAAGTGTTGGAGAGGAGTTATGGGACTATTTCTGATAGTGTTAATACCAGTTGGCAGAATTCCCTTCATTTTCAGCTGCTGCACCTTTAGCCAGCGAGAGGACAGGTGTTGCCCCTGATTTGTTGGAATTTGGGATTCGGTAAAACCGGAACCAAAAGGGCCAATACCATTCTTTATGTACTTTCAGGTAATTGCCAAAGAAGGGGTGAGCACTTTGAGCGTGTCAGAACTGCAAGCAGCCTGCAGGGCCCGGGGGATGAGATCCCTGGGTCTCACTGAGGAACAGCTGAGACAGCAGCTCACAGAGGCAAGTCACAGCTCTCCGGGGCCCTTTCCACTACAACTCTGTCCCCTGCGCTTTGTAGACCTCACTCTGATTTCTATTTTTCAGGCGAGCCGTCCCACCTAATTTGCCTTCTTTAATTGAGCAGTGGGTTGCTGAAGAAGCTAGATTTATTTTTGATGGAGACAGGGTACTCTATCAGTTTTCTTTCTTTTTTTAAGTTTCACTTAATTGACATACACTGCAATATTGGTTTCTGGAGTAGAATTCAGTGATTCACCATTCACGTACAATACCCAGCGCTTGGCACAAGTGCCCTCCTCATACCCATCACCCATCGGGCCCATCCCCCGTCCCCCCTCCCTCCATCAACCCTCGGTTTGTTCTCTATCCTTAAGAGTCTCCTCTGGTTTGTTTCCCTCTCTCCTTCCCCCCTCCCCCATACGTTCATCTGTTTTCTTTGTTAAATTGCACATATGAGTGAGATCATAAGGTGTTTGTCTTTCTCTGACTTATTTCACTTAGCTTAATACACTCTAGCTCCATCCGTGTCCTTGCAAATGGCAAGACTGCATTCCTTTTGATAGCTGAGTAGTATTCTATTCCTTCTTTATCTAATCATCGGTCGATGGACACTGGGCTCTTCCAATAACTTGGCTATTGTTGATAACGCCACTGTAAACATCAGGGTGACCTACGCCTTTGGATCTGTTGCTGCATAAACAACTATCACAAACTTAGTGGCTGAAAACAGCACCCCAATTATTAGCTTACAAGTTCTTTTTTTTTTTTTTTTAAGATTTTATTTATTTATTTGACAGAGAGACACTGAGAGAGGGAACAGAAGCGAAGCGAGTGGGAGAGGGAGAAGCAGGCCTCCTGCTGAGCAGGGAGCCTGTTGCAGGGCTTGATCCCAGGACCCCAGGATCATGACCTGAGCTGAGGGCAACCGATTAACGACTGAGTCACCCAGGCACCCCAGCTTACAAGTTCTGTCAGAAGTGCAGGCTGTTTTTTTTCTGGAGGTTCTGAGGGAAGATTCCACTTCCAGGCTCATTCAGTGTGTTGGCTGAATTTAGTCTTTTGCAGCTGGAGGATTGAGGTCTCATTTCCTCGCTGGCTGTCAGCCCCAGGCTCCTCAGCCCTGCAGGCCCCCTGCATTCCTTACCTCTAGGTCCCGTCCCTATGCAAAGCCAGGAAAGGAGAGCTTCTCACATTCTAGCCCCCCATAGGCCTCACATCTCAGACTTCCCCTTTTTGAACTCTAGCTCTAGATTTAAAGGCCTCACGTGATTAGGTGAGACCTCCTCAAATAACTTCCTGCTTTCAGTTCTGCTGACTTGGGGTCCTAATTATTTCTGCAAAATCCCTCACAGCAGCACCTAGATTCATGTTTGAATAACTGGGAGAAGGTGTGGGTACATTAGGGACTAGGAATCTTGGGGCCACCTTAGAATTTTACATACTCAGGGTATTTTAAGGGCCTGGGCAAAATTCTTGAATTCAAGGCCTGTTGTGTGTGAATCCATCTGGAGGTCTAAGCCTTGCCTGAGGGCTTTACCTGGGACTACTTTGCAGTTAGTACCCCAAGCCAATATAAAGTGTTAGCTTTGGCAACAGATGTTTAATATTTTCCCACTGACAACATATTTTAACTAAGAGCATCAGTGTTTTTTTGTTTTAGGATTCATTTATTTTAGAGTGAGAACACCTGCACACATGAGTTGGGGGAGGGACAGAGGGAGAGAATCTTAAGCATGCTTGAGTCCCCACTGACCACGGAGCTAGATGTGGGGCTAAGGTGGGGCTTGATCCCATGACCCATGAGATCATGACCTGAACCAAAACCAAGAGTCGGATGCTTGACCAACTGAGCGTAGGCATCCCAGAGCATCCATGTTTTCAATCAAAGCAGTAACTCCTATTAATATTCTCATTCTTGGGGCCCCTGGGTGGCTCGGTTAGTTAAGCATCTGCCTTTGGCTCAGGTCATGATCCCAGGGTCCTGGAATGGAGCCCCGTATGGGGGCAGGGGGAGCCTGCTTCTCCCTCTCCAGCTCCTCCCTTGCTGTGTTCCCTCTCTCACTATCTCTCTCTGTCATAAATAAATAAAATCTTTTTTAAGAAAATAAAAATAAATTTTAAAAATGAAATTCTCATTCTTGTAACTGTAAGAAATGCTATAAAGCATACACAAATTATTTTGGAATAGGAGCCACTGTTGTGACTTTGAAACCACGTCAGGTAGCTATTTCCTTTTACATGTTGGACCTGCTCTGGCTGGAAGATGAACATATTGCAGGGAAAGTTTCTTAAAATCACTTATTTCTTTTTTTTAATAATTTTTAAAAGATTTTATTTATTTATTTGACAGATCAGAAGTAGTCAGAGAGGCAGGCAGAGAGACAGGGGGAAGCAGGCTCCCCTCTGAGCAGAGAGCCCGATGCAGGGCTCGGTCCCAGGACCCTGAGGCCGTGACCTGAGCCAATGGCAGAGGCTCAACCCACTGAGCCACCCAGGTGCCCTAAAATCATTTATTTCTTGAACATAGAGTATTAAATGGATTCATACTGTCCAAATAGCTTTCTTGAAAGAGTGTACATTTTTCCCACAAAGGAGTGAGGATACCGATCCAACAACGTGTGATAGTCAACACTACGTATTACTCAGAAATTCCTGTGTTAGGATACAGGCAGGCATTTCACAGAAGGGAAACTCTTAAGATGATAATCATATGAAACATCTTAACTTCATAAGAAGATAAAACAGATATCACATTCACCTGTTAAGTTGGCATAGATCAGTTTGATAACACACCATGTTGTTGAGGGTTAGGGAGAGGGGCACTCATGCATTGCTACTGAAAACCTCCATGGAATCTTTCAAAATTTAAAAATGCATTCACTGGGCACCTGGGTGGCTCAGTGGGTTAAAGCCTCTGCCTTCGACTCAAGTCATGATCCCAGGGTCCTGGGATCGATCCCCGCATCGGGCTCTCTGCTCAGCAGGGAGCCTGCTTCCTCCTCTTTCTCTGCCTGCTTCTCTGTGATTTCCGTCTGTCAAATAAATAAATAAAATCTTAAAAAAATAAATAAATAAATAAAAATGCATTCACTTTGACCTAGAAATTTCACTTGTGTAGTATGACATATCTATAAAATTATCCACTGCAACACCATTTATAATAGCAAAAGACTGGAAATAGGCTAGAGTTCATAAATAGGAGAATAATCAAATTATGGCCTTTCCATGCAACAAGGGGATCCTTTTCAGATGGTTAAAAAGGAGGCAGCTCCACAACCACAGATATGAATCAATCTCCAAGATATTTCAGTGAAAAAAAGCAAAGGACAGAACAGTGTGTATATATCGCCCTTTTTGTGGAGATGAAAAATGTACAAATGTGTGTTTGTTTATCCACAGGATACTTTGGAAGAGTATGTAAGGACCTGGTGACAGTGGTTGTTTCTAGGGAGGGAAACAGGGTGGTTAAAGGATAGGAGTAGAAGGCAGGTTTATTGTTATTGATCATATTTTATTTACTTTCTGAGTGTTGTCTCATACATGTATTATTTACCTATGTATATATGTATATATCTATGTATCTTTTCTTTTTTTAAAGGTTGGCTGTTTGGTACTTGAAAATTACATCTCATTCTCATTTTAATTTCTTTGGTTATGAGTGAGGCTTATTTATTCTTTCCCCTCACCTGCTCTGTATCTAAGAGAAGATCCTCTGCTCCTTCGATCCGCAGTGGATTTGAGAGGTGACTGGAACGCTCCCTCTCCAAGAGGCTCCCACTGTCACGAAGGGGGTTACAGACTCCAGACACTGGTGCCAAAGCCAGGAGGCTAGTGTTGTCACCCTTGTCCTGCCGCTGCTCCCCAGCATGTGCCTGGGGAAGCTGATGAAACTAGGGAAGCTGTTGGTGATGGTGGGTCACGCCCAGTTTGAACATGCTGGAATTCTGTCCTGTGTTACTCTCCTCCCATCTCCAGTGGCAGGACCTCCACCTGAAGGAGAACGTCCCTCCTTCTCTGTTGCTTCTGTCACGAACTTTCTACCTGATCGATGTGAAGCCAAAGCCAATCGAGATACCACTAAGTGGGGAGGTGAGTACCCGGGATCTGGATTTCCATAACTGGGGCCTCTCCACAAATGTCTTATTTCCTCTTACAGTTAGGGTGGGTATTTCTTTTTTAGTATCTTTTGGCACTTGGTCCAGTGGACTTTAAAATCTTTTTAAAAATTCCTTAAAAAAATTAAAATTGCTAAAGCTAACTCTAGCTATAGGACTCTTACTGTCTTTGTCCCAGCTCAATTTAGGAATCCAGTTTATTCCTTCTCCTGAACCATCTAGAGTCTTCATTAGCAGCCTCTTGCTCTTCTGAGACTGAATGGTTCCTCGTCTTTCATGTCCATTTCATTTGTTGAGATTCCTATTAATTTTGAAGTGGTGAAAGGCCAGTCTAGAATGTAAACTCTTTGTCTACCTTCCACTCATTTTCTTAGTCATTTTGTGTTGCCTTTAATTCAGTAGCTCCCTGCCACCCCTCTCCACCCCCAGCGTTTTACCGTAAAACCCAGGATTGGCCCAATCACTAGAGCATCTTGCTCTGGTCAGAAGGGGCCTCTCACTTCTCTGCTTTGTGGCTTCATGTCTAAGTCAGAATCTGCACAAGTGAGAAAGAGAGACCATTGTGGAAGATGCTGCATGTGTGGTGTAGCGGATGAATCCAATTTCTCTGGAGTGGGGACCCATCCGTTTTAATTTAGTTATGCTAGTGACTCCTTGGACAAGCCAAGGGAAATGATATGAAGTCCAGCATGAAAAATATACTTTGGGGAACACCCTCTTGCTTTGCCTTTCCATGTTTCCAGAGACTAATCAGATTTGGGCTTTGTCCAGGAAGGATTCTAGGGAGAGTGGGAGCAATTCCAGAACCCATACCATCTTTTAAAAGGCAGCCTACCTGGTTCTTACTCTATATTTGGTCTTTAAGACTGACCAAATCTGTCATTCTTAGACTGCTCTCAGGTGCAAGGAAATCTTCGGTTAGTACAATATCTCAGAGCTTAATCTATGTTCTCAGAATTTTTCTAGTTGGGCATAAACACTTTAGCCAGATGTCGCTTTCTGGAATGTTTGAGAAAGACCTAGAAATTAAGGACAAAATGACAAGCTCCTAGGCATTTTATTCATTGCTTTTTTCTTTTTTTAATCCATGCTTTTAAACTTCTGTTTTCCATATATACAGAATGAGAATAAGTAGCATGCTAGGTTCTATACAGAATTTAGGGACATCAAGTTAAATATACTATAATTTGGATATATGTAGCTCTTTTCCCTCCCAAGTACACAAAACAATTACTTATTTCCAAAGAGCAGTGACAGATTTACTTTTCAAATCTAATTGTAATTCTCGAAGATAGGTTAGCTAGCTGTTCTCAAAATACCATGTCTTCCATTTTCCTCATGTTGCAGGAGCTTCTGCTAAGCAGCACCTACCATTTTAATAAATCAGACAAACTTACCATTATTAGACACCAAAAATGATAAAGGTATCAATTTTGACTAAGTTGTATCAATACTATTAGAAGCTGATGAGTAACTGAGAAAAGGCAACTTTTTTTTGCCAGACTGAAAACGAGACCAGAATTGGCAAATCAGTAGCTTAATGACCGCAGAATTTTTTTTTTATTTATTTTTTAAGTAATCTCTACACCCAACATGGGGCTCAAACTCAAAACCCTGAGACCAAGAGTTGCATGCTTCAATGACAGAGCCAGCCAAGCACCCCAACTGAGGAGTTTTAATTCTAGAATCTCATTCGAGGGCCACTTTGCATGTACGCCACCCAGTGCTACTAAGTTGCTGCTTCAGGGGCCTGCTTCCTACATTCTCCTAAAGGGCAGAGTTGGAAGAAGTTAGGGATTCAGTGAGTGGAAAGCAAGTTACGCTAGAAAGCATTAACTACTGTAAAAGTTGAGTTGCAGGAATAGCAGAAAGCTGATGTTCATATAAAATACTTCTCTTCCTAGTCTTCCAAAACAGATATTCCCGTGGAATCACCTACTTCTCCTGGATCTAAAGAGACGCTGGTGGATTTAGCACCTCCACTGAAGGGAACTAAGGTTAGACTATTACTTTTCATTTGATTAATTAGGTTTCCACATGAAAATAAGTTAACTTATCCTTTTTTATTATTTTTTTAAGATTTTATTTATTTATTTGACAGACCAGGGGGAGGGGAGCAGGCTCCTTGCTGAGCAGAGAGCCCGATGTGGGGCTTGATCCCAGGACCCTGGGATTGTCACCTGAGCTGAAGGCAGAGGCTTTAACCCACTGAGCCACCCAGGCACCCCAATTTATCCATTTTTAACTCTTAATGAAACTGAATTTCAATACCATGGTGTTCTTTAATCAGGATTATTATTGTACTATTAGTACTATTAATAGTACAATAATAGTACTATTAGTACTATTGTACTATTAGGTCAACATTTGGCTCTATGTAATTAGGTTCCAGATTTAGCCTTTTGAATCGTGTCGTGGAAGAGGTGGTAGTTACACGTTCCTGGGGGTCACAGCAGTGTGACTATAGATCTAAGACCCATTTTGTTTTAAATCAGTAACCCAACTCTCAGTTCTGCTGTTGAAGGATGAAGAATTTATACAGCCGCCGCTGGTTCCGTCATCCCCCATAATGCCATCGACACCTATCCCGTTACCTAAGGGACCCATCGCTTCTGCTAAAGAAGCTGTGAGTATCTGAAAAAAGAACACCTTTGGTCTAGTTATTTTTAAGGGCAGTGAGGATCTAGAATTGTTACTATTGCAAAACACCACATGCTTCTTCCTGTCATCCAAACAGGAAGTTGTAGGCTGAACTTTCATCATGTCATAACCACTAAGTTTTTAAAATTCAGTTATCCAAAAGCCCCCCCCAAAAAACCCCCCAAAAACCCCAGCTTATCAACCAATGCAGTCATGGATGAGGCCTCGACACGTGAAGTCTAGAGGCTAATTACAATATAGGCAGACTCTTATTTTCTTTTGTGCCAGATGGAAATAGTTCCCATATGTTGTGTATTTCGCACAGGCTTCAAATGTCAGGAAATACTAGCAGGAAAGCAATTTAAATCTTAGGAGAAATGTATGTAAATAAGAAATTACTTATTTATCCACTTTTCCCCTTTGGGTGAAAGAATCTGGGACGAGGGCAAAAGCCTGACATAAGGAAGTGGCAGGGGCGTCCTGGGAGAGTTTGACCGGCTCTACTGGCCCCCAAGGGCCAAAGAAGAGAGCCAGCCAACACATAGACACCCAGGGCTGGACACACAGGGTCCTTGCTTGCAAGTCTTTTTAAATTTTATTATTAAGGTAAGTTGCAAACTTGGAGTTGACCTTGTCCTCTGTCATTTGATTAAGAAAACAGAAAAGGGGGGGCGCCTGGGTGGCTCAGTGGTTTAAGCCTCTGCCTTCGGCTCAGGTCATGATCTCAGGGTCCTGGGATCGAGTCCCGCATCGGGCTCTCTGCTCAGCAGGGAGCCTGCTTCCCTTCCTCTCTCTCTGCCTGCCTGTCTGCCTACTCGTGATCTCTGCCTGTCAAATAAATAAATAAAATCTTTAAAAAAAGAAAACAGAAAAGGGGCTCTTGAGGAACTTCTACATCTCGCTGTGAGCAGTGCCTAAAGTCCTTATGTTTTATACCTAGACACTCCAGGCCGAATCACAAAAGACAACGCAGAACAGCAAGGCGAGTTCTAAAGGTGCATAAGGACCATGGGAGATGAAGCTCACTGTTGTCCGCTTCCTGCCCGCAGCGGTGGCATCCACGCAGGACCACCCAGCTGAGACAGATGCTCTGTGTCTGGTTTAAACAGAGATCAGCCGTGTCGTCCTTGGGGCAGTCCTTTGCAGCCTTGTAACCTTTCCAGATGTCAGCAGTGAGACCAAGTTCAGACCATTTAGAAATGTAATCTCAAAGCCACCTTCCTCTGTACCATGACGTCATCCCACTAAACTGTGTGAAGCCCCCTCCCCGTGGTATTTTTGAACAGCTTCACATTCGTGCGCATGTCCTTTAAGGGAGGACATTTTTTTGCGTAATGGAATCAGCTTGGCACCTTAGATTCCAGTAACTTGGAAACTCCGAAACCACCGGGAGAACACCTAACTTTTTCAGGGATCCATCAGTAAGAATAGTGCCGTGGAAACAAAGCACCTTAATGGGATGGAATGGGCATATTCCCCAGTAAGGCCTTTCCGGATATGAAGAAGAAAAAGCCTTCTGGAGAAGAAAACAGGAGTTCAACAGACTGGCGATCCACAAGGCCTGGCTGCTGCTTGGCTGCTTAAAGGCTCCCCCTCTGGGGCCCCGGGAGCCTGCAGGAATCTGGGAGGCTGCCATTATTCCAGCACACGTGGCTTTCATTAGCCACCATTTTGCCAGGAAACATAATTACGGGTTTAAGACGTAACCATTTGTCTGTGCTGGGTGTATGCTTTTCTGGTGTGTGTGTCTTTCACAAACAAGACCATTTGTTAGTCATCGGGGTGGTTAAGAGTCTGACACAATCCCTGTCCTACCCACTAACGAGTATTATGTTCAGATACTTATGTTCGGGGTTTTCAGGATGGTCAGTTCTGATAAAACTTAATACCTTGCCGTGCAGCTGACCCAGAGCTTTCTTCCCTTGGGGAGTGCTTAGAAAGAAGAGGTGTTTTGGTTTGTGGGTGATGAGATTGGTTTTCTTCACTCTCAGTGAAACTGAAAGCGGTTAGAATGGGAGTCATTGAAACCTAGTGCAACTCCAGTCTTCCTGTCTGGGATCACCTAAGTGAGGACTGTCATCAGTGCTTCCCAGCAAGATCTGTACTTTACAATGCTTTCTAAGCCTCCTCTCCACCAGAGGGAAAGCCCCACCCTGGCCTGCTAACGCTCTCCAGTTCCTCAAGAATGATGAATCCCTACTACAGAGCATTCGGTGGGTCTCCCCATTGGCCTAGCAAGGTGATTCACAATAAATTCTCCCATTTTTAAAACCATGGGTGTTTATTTTAATTAGCTCACATTTCAAGTGTTGAATGTGGGCAAGGGATTAGTTACTTAACTTGTTCAATCCTGTTTTAGCTGAATGATTTATAAGGGCTGCTAGGCTGTTCCTGCAGTTCTTTCTGGCTTTTCCTACAAGGCAGAGTGGGACTGGTTACGGCAAGGGGCCCCTAGTCAGTTCTGGCTCCAGCTGGCTGGCCTTCACCTTTTTTTCTACATATAGGCATCTGAGACACTGAACATACCCGTCTTCCCATTCTTTGGATCATAGGTCAGAGAAGTCAGGATGTTTCTTTGGTCTCATCACCTAGAGCCCTTGGCTGTTGGGCTCTATGGGATTTTTACATCTAGCCCCTGCTGAAACCGAGCTAGCAGTGTTCTGATAAATAGTTACTAACCAACTCTGGTTGGGGCACAGCCCTGGCTTATAGCATTTGCCTTCAGGCTGCCAACAAGAGGTCACTGAGGGACTCAGGAAGAGGGGTGCCCCATTAGCGCCAGCAATGGTCATTAAATGGGTCACTTCTCTGCTCCAACACAAACATCGGGGAGGCAGTGTCCTATATGTGGCCCTGAAAGCTTTTAGGTACCAACCTGGAGGGACCTTGCCCCAGACTGAATCTTCCTCAACAGCTGGGTTCTTGCTGACCTTCCATCCCCTTGGCTCTCCTCAGCTGATAGAATGGGGTGGGAGGCTATACCAGCGTGCTACATAGCTTTCTCCTTCCCTGCAGATGCCTAGGCTTTGCTGTGCCATCTGCGAATCATCCCACTGGGTGGGACTGCAGGCAGTTTTTAAAGGCCAGACCTCAGTGGTGCTGTCCGATTTGGCCGGCATCCCATTCAGAGAGCATTCTGCCCCAACACGGAGGTGTTGGTAGCACCTGACATTTACGGACCCACACCTGTGCCACATGTAATTCTGTCCTTCAGTTGTTACGGCACCAGTCACACTGGTGACATCAGATACACTGTCATGCTGTCAAACCTAGGCTGAAGATTTCCCAGTCACTACCAGCTAGCTCCCCCGAGGTCAGGTCAGACCTTGGGAACTTGGAAGCTGAGTGGCGCAGCCCCCTATGTTGACTGAGATCTTGGCCTGCTGGCTCCTCCCAGTGGAGACTGCAGGGCATGGCGCCTTCACCGTCAGGAAACCGATTTCTTGCTTCATCTGAAGGTCAATCTTCCTCACTTGAGGATCAATATAGTACATTAGTGGTGCCTAGGGACTGATGCTCTCCAGTCTATGGCAATTAGAAAAGGTGGAAAGGCAGTATTGATTAGTGGCATGACGATCCCAGACCCTAATCTTTGAACCCTGTGGAAACCAGACAGATTCAGTGCCTCTGACAGCACGACGTCTTCATTAGATAGACTGGACTCCTTTCCTCAGGAGACCCCATCTGGTTATCTAAGTAAAATGGCCATTTCATTTTCTCTCAGGTCGATTTTACTATCTTTTATTTTAGACAGCCAGCTCCGTCTCTGGGGGAATTTGTGGGTGATTGGAGTGGTAACAGCAAGGACACTACGGACTTAGTAACAGCGCCTTATGTTCTCTGGCACCTTCCCTAAGGCAAGGAAATCCTCCATCCACTCACACAACACTGCTTCAACGGAGGGCTGAGGTGAGATGATCGTATTTTAGAAGGAAAGACACCACTCTAAGGTCTCCAAGCAAATGATTTTAAGAGCAGAAATTCATTTCCTGGCTCTGTTCACCAAATGACGCCTTCTTTAAACACAAACACAAACTGTAATATGTTGACAAGACGCATATTTACAGAGAGACACGAGGGTAAGAGAGAACTTTACAACAGTGGCCAACACCGCAGCTGCCCCCAAAAGAGCTAGCTCAGAAAGCAAACTTAAAGCAGCAATCCCGTTTGCCCTGCAGAAATGAAAGCGAATTGAACTTTCTTCTGTATTTCATGGTAACTGCGCAGAGAGTAAGCCTGGGGGGTGGGGGAGTGGGGGCGGAGTGCCTGCAGGTTCAGGGCTGAAGTTGTGAGGAGCAGGGACCCACATGCTGAGTGCAGAGATCACCAGCAGGTGGCAGAGAAAGAAAATTTCCAAGCAGCCAAACACCAAACATTCAGAGAATTTTTCCCCTTTCCTGGGGGATGGGGTGGAGTTTATACAGGAAGAACTTATAGGAAGCCAAAATCTGCGATAGTTTCAACACACAAGTCTGGTCACAGACACAGGAAGAATGGAGGCGGGGCAGGTGAGAGAAGCATGGCCAGAGGAAGCTGGGAGACATGAAGCAAGGGGTCCGAATGTCAAACTGGTCTTAGGTGACAAGTTTTCCCTCACACAGAAGTACAGACAAAACCACACCCACATAAAGGGGGAGACTCATATCTGGGTTTGAGTTTCTGCAGGCCCTTGGTCCTGTAATCCGTAGCTTTCCTTTTAAATCCCTCTAGCTCCATCCCTTGGCTATTCCCAGGTAGGCCCCCAGCTCCCCTTCTGACCCTCCAACCCCACCCAACCCCACCAGTTTCCTCTAAGGAAACAATCTGTGGTTGAGGGCGGCGGTAGGGCCTTGGCTCCGGGCCCAGCGCCTCGGGTGCACTGAGGTTCCTGCCTGCTACACAGACGTCGTCGTCTCTTCCTGCCTTTCCGAAAAGCATCGGAGAGAGGTAGGAGGTTTGTCCTGGAGGTCTTGGTGCAGGACCTAAGGGGAAGCGGTGAGGAGGCACTGCAGGGAGCTTGGGCGCCCTTGGCACAGACACAGCCCCAGGGCCCGGGAGGCTCGCTCCTTTTCAGCGGACATCCTCTCCCTCGTCACACAGCCCATATAAAAATGAAGCAGCAGCAATTTTTATTGAGGGACCTAAACTGAAAATAGGTTTAGAACATAATTTAAAAAAATAAAACAGCAAAAGTAGCAAAAAATATATGACCTTTTTAAAAACATTTTCCTTTTTTTTTTTTTCTTTTTCGTTTTTTAATATATAGCAACTGATGCCTCCCAGCCACCAGGAGCATCTTACCCGATGGGTAAATCTCTGGTAACGACCCTTTTAAAAAGACATGTAAATATATACTCAGATTTATACACTTTGTGTTTTCTTCATAGCTATATACAAAGCCCCCAGCGTGGGGCTGGGCCCCAGGGCCACGACACTGCTCCCAGCCTTCGCCTCCCCATCCTCTGGTACCAGGTATTTGGTCAGCAAAGCAAACTAGTATTAGAATTAATAAGCCCCTGGCACCATCTCTCTGGAGCAGAGGCCGCCTTCAGCCGAGGCCTGGAGCGCTTGACCTCCCCTCGCTACCACTGTAGCCCTGAGGACAAGGCCCCCGCCACCAGAACTCAGGCTTACGGGTCACAGGAAGCAGACAAAACCAACACAGGAAAGCTCGGTCCGCTCTCGCTGGCATGCCTGCTTACCTCCCACTCCCCAGCCTCCAGGCACTGTGCCAAGGTGGCGGGGAGGGGTCTTGGTCCAACATGTGGGAGGGCACGAACTCGCCGGGAACAAGGCCCTGCCGCTCTGCACCTCTCTCACAAGCAGGTTGTGAAGAGGAGGAGGAGGAGGAGGAAGAGAGGCAAACTCTAGGGAGGGGTGAAGGCCTCAGGTAGGCAGCTGGCTCCTGCCAGCAGGAAAGGGGCAAAGGGGAAGGCAGTGAGTCCCGCAGGGAGGGGTTAGGGGGTGAGGATTACAGCGGCCGATGGGAGTCTGGGCAGGGGGGCATGTGGGTGCTAGTCAGCGTCGTTTGAGTCCACCATTGGCAAGCTGGGCTGGGTGTCGGGGCAGACAGGGTTCCTCCGGCAACGGCTCATGAGAGAAAACAGAATCCTCCCCCGAGGAGCAGGTAGAGCTTCGGGTGTCGGGAAAGCT